AGCCCTGTCCTGCCCCCTCCCTGAGAGGCCCCCTCCCCCCACTCCTCGTGGCCACCTTACCTCCCTCTTCCACCGGGCCAGCCACTCGTCCCGCTTCCGCTTGCTGATGTAGTAGGGGTCCCCAGCCTGGAAGGTCAGGCGGGGCATCGGCCGGGGGCGAAGACTCGACTCGCAGCCCAGCCCTCCGCGCAGGCGGCCACGGGATCCCTGGAGGAGAGGGGATGGGGTTGCCTTAAGGATGTGCACCCGCACGGCGTCCAGTCCTGTTTGTCAAGCGGGCACTCTGTGCGCGTGTCCAGACACATGGAAGAAATCTCACTGCAGGCGTAAGGACCGCTATCTTTCTTTTTTCCTCTCCAGTCTGGGCACTGGGAGCCACAGCAGGATCTGCTCCAGCAAACCTTCTGAGTTCCCTTCCATTCGATCTCAGAGGCAGGAAGAGACTGACCAAGCTTCAACTTTAGAGATGCTGAATAAGCTATTTTTTTTGGGGGGGGGAAAGAAGCCAGTGACACGGGCCCTTTAAAGAGAGAATCCCACCCGACTGGGGCTCCAGGGTGGGCTGTAACTCTCAGTACCTGCCAGTCTGGAGTGGCCCAACATGGAAAGAAACCTCACTTGACTGGTCGGTTGGGGGGGGGGAGACACCCTGAAGGAAGCCTTGGCTGTCCTGCTCCCTCTGCCTTGCACCCTTGGCCTCCTCCCAGGCCCAGGGACCGCTGCAGGTGGCAGAAGTCAACGTGCTCCATGAGCGCTCCATGGCCCTGAGGAAGGGCCACCATCCCCCAAAGAACAGTTCCTTCACTCTGCACCCTGTGAGTGCACTCAAACACCCCCTGGGCTGCTTTGGGGCGCAGCTGGCGGCATGGGTGCACCCTGGGTGTCTAAACCAGGGAAGTGCTGGCCCCTCTGCAGGACTGAGCTCGGAGGAAAGGCCTTTGCAGCGAGGGGGGCAGAAAGAGCGGACGTTGAGCTGTTCCTTCTGTTCGACGGGCCAGGCGGCCTGCACGCCATACGGAGGAGAGCTTGGGAGGACCGCTCGCTCAGTCTGGCCCCAGAAGGTGGTGGATGTTGCCATCCTCTCTTGCGGGTGCCTCTTGGACCCCCCGCGCCACAGACGCTGGGCCATTGTGCTGGGCCAGTTTGCTTGTTTGCTTGTTTTCCCATCCAAGCGACCCTCTGCAGCTTCTCCCGGCCGCTGCTTCCTACGCCTTCCTACACCTTCCTAAGCCATACCTTCTGGGCATCTCCCAAGAGACTACCTGCTTGGGCTGCCAGAAACCAACTTGGGGGGGGGGGGTTATTTTTTTAAGTCTCTATCAACATTCAGAGGCTGATGGAATCCACCCTTTTTCCTGGTTGTGCGTGAAATGGCCCAGGCTTTGGAATGAGGGTGGGTGTCCATGAGGAAGAATCCACATCGACCTGATAACCTGAAGGCACCGGCACCCCCTCCTCGCTCTTTGCCAACCCCTCCTAGGCTTGGTTCTTAAAAGCCAGCTCTTAGGACACAATTGCTTCTGAGATCTGCCACAGCGTTTGGGGGGTACAGCCGACGGGTAAGGCCCACGATCCAACGCCCGCTCCAGAAAGAGCGCGATGCACAGGAGCAAGCCAGGGGCTACTTGGTCCAGAAGGAGCACGAGAAGAGTTCCCTGAGAGGTTCGACAGGCGCCGTCTCCACATGGCTCCTCTGGGGCCACACGCACCACCCTTTGCTGGGACCCCTCAAGGCAAGACCCCAGAGAAACATCTCCAGCATTTTAGACCTGGCGTCGGCAGTGGCTGCTCCACCGATGCCCGGTGACCTGAGGGGGCGTAGGAAGAGGGCCCAAAGGTGCGCCCGAGGGTCACTGCGGAGAGGAAAGGACTTACCTCCATTTTCAGGGAGTTGTAGTGGTTCTCTTCTTTCTCTTTGCCTGGAAAACAGAGAGCACAGAGTGAGTCCCAAGGATGGGCCCCTCAGACCCTAAGTGGGTCGACCCCACAGACCAACGAAGCACCCAGCTATGGGGGGGGCAGCTTCCACACAAGGTTACCAAGCACCAACCAGCATGCCTCTTGCTTAAGGGCCGATCCTGGTGGACCCGGTGGCCCTGAATGGCCTCAGTCCTGCAGGAGGAACCTTTCCCAAACGTGGTCCAACACCCACATGGCCACGAGGGACGGCGAGAGCCACAGAACGACACACAGGCTGGGCAGGAGTGGCCGTGAGGCCTCTTCCATGCCTCACGGCGGGCCACCAGCTCCCCACGGCCTGATCGCTCCCTCTCACCCGCTCACAAGCCTGCTTGAAGCAGTGCCAAGAGGCCGGCCTGAGCCGCCCCTCGGGCGGTGGTGGCAGCAACACCAAGGGACTTTGGGGAAAGGGACTTGTCGCCCGCGGCTTGGCCGCACAGGAGGCCCTGCATCCCTGCCATGGCAAAGTTCAGCCGTGCCCCCTACAACATGCGCAGCCCTGTGGGGGGAGCCCCGCACCCTCCCACACACACATCCGTGCCAAGGCCTGACGGTGCCCTTCGAGCAAAGAAGGAAGACGAGAAGCCTGGAAAGGCAGGAGGACGCCTGAAGACGCTCCTCTTCTTCCTCCCCATGAAAGAAGGACATAACCTGGGGGACCTTTTCCCCCGAGCAAGGCTCACAGAAATGGACGCACGCCAAGTGGGGCAGGGGGTCCGACCGGGGGGGGGGAGAGGGAGGGCCGCTTCCCTTTCCAGCCCCAGATCGGTCCCATGGGGCGAGGGCCTCTTCCCTGCCTCGTGACACACTCAGCCCTCGGCTCCAGAATGAGCTTGTCTTCTGTTCTGACTGCTTTCTTAAACTTCCTTTTACTGCGGGGGGAGAGAAAGGTGGTGGTGGGGGGGAATCAGGACGACGAGTGAACCCTTCAACGCGCCAGTCGCCCTGCCATCCTCGTGGGCAGCCCCTGCTCCCCTGTCCTCTCTTCTACGTCAAGTGCCTCCTTCAGGGGACGCCTCTGTCCATCACCCGGCAGCAAAAGCCCCCCACCCCCACCCCCACCCCGCCTCCCACAACGGAGTCCCTGGATGCTGGTTTTTACCCGAGTCAGCTTGTTTCTAAAGTTTTAAAAATGTTTTAATCATTCAATGTATTTCAATCAGTATCTTTGGGATTTCTATGACATCTCACAGTGTCTCTGCAACCTACATTTGAACCCATAAGCAAGCTGAAACATGTTTATGAGTAACCTGGCCTTTCTCACCAGCTTACTCATAAACAGCTTCATACCCACCCAAAAGTTCAAACACAGGTTGGGGGGGGAACATGACCTGTCAGAGAAATCCCCCCCCCATTAATTACTATTTTACTTGAGTTGTTTGTAATGTATAATATTGTGCTTTTCTTTTTTAAACACCGTGATTTGCCTTGAGTCCCCTCATTAGGAGAAAAGCGGCCTGTAAATGAGACAAATACTGCAAATAAATGGTATTTCCTGTCATAGCTTTTCTCTCTCTTTAGTGTTCCACAACGTTAAAACTTCAAGAAGTGTCACTACCACATAACCCACAGGAGCCCTGTCGTTTCCTGCAGCCCCAGCTTCCCTCCCTTCCGAGGGGCCCAGAATGGTCTTTGAGGGACTCTGTACCGTCGGCCATGGCAGGAAGAGGCAGGGCGTTCATGGCGGTGGGGTGCCTGCGCCCCTCTAAGGGCATACGGTGCCTCCTTCCTT